GCGTCCCCGGGCTCTGCCCCCCGGCCCCCCGCACGGGTTCGCCGTCCTGCCCGCGCTCGCTCGGGCGTCCTGGCCGGGAGAGAAGCTCTTCTCGGCAGCCTTGCGGTTTTAGCCCGCTCTGGTTTTGCTCGGGGAGGTACGAGGGGGATTTCTGCCTTGCAGGAGGTGCTGGGGTTTAGGAAGGTCGGCTCCTCGGTGCCGCTTGCGAGCCCTCCCCCGGCACAGGGAGCGAATGTGGAGCCTGAGGAGGGCTCCACCGTCACCCGTTGGGCTCCGCCGTCACCCCTTGGGCTCCTCTCACCGGGCTGAGCCCAGCGCTCTCGGAGGACGGCGCTGGCCCCGTCGCCCCCCGTGCCGTTCCTTCGCGCCGCCTCTTCTCTTCTTGGGAATCTTTTCCCGCGTCGCAACCTGCTTCTCTCCACTTTACTGTCAATATTTGTATCCTGCTAAACAGTGATTAGAAAAGTCGTTTGAAAAACAAATGTCCTTGTGTCACACCGTTCTCAGCAGAGAGCCCGGGCTGAAGAACCAGATGGCAGCGCTGGAAGAGGAGCGTAGTGTTCCGTGTCTCCCCCCGCCCAGGATTTTAAAGCCTGGAGCTTTTCCTTCTGGTGCTCTCACCGACGCCTTCCCTCCGCTGAGCTGAAGTCCTGACGTGGTGGAAACGCTTTTAGAAAGCGGCTTGAACTTGTTAAATCTCCCAGAAAGGAGTCTGCTTCCCTAAAGCCGGTGCTGGAGGAGAAGTTCAGCGGCACAGACCAGGGGTCTGCTGGGCAGAGCGAGGTTTGGGGGGCACGTGCCGGCAGCCGGCGGCAAAGGCTCGTTTTAATTTTTGGGATGCAGATGATCGGTCCTCCTGCAGGAATGGGCTCTTCCCCCAGCAGCAGCCGCGCTTTGGCTTCCTCCCAGAGCGGAATGGGACGCGTGGTTAAAAACCCCTCACGTTTATGGGGAGATAAAGCAGCACAGTCCCGCCTGTGCTCTTTGAGACGTTATTCTGGTGTATCTGGGCCTCGCGATGATCCTCCTGTTGCTGACGGGGTCCCCGGGGGCCGCTGCTCTACCCTTGGGAGCATCCCTGGCTCGAAGCAGCTCTGCTGTTTGCCTCGGTGATGCTTTTCCATTTGGGGTGTGGGCGCCTTCCTCCGAGGTCGCCCTTTTCTTGTCTCCCAGTGGCTCGTCCCGATGTCGAATCTTTTGTGCTTTTGCAAGCAAGAAATAGCGCTCATGCCACGCAGAGCTGCCGTTCCCGCGCTGCCTTCCCCTTCGCCTTCAGCGGAGGTTTACGGGCCATCCAGCGCTTGCCCTGTTAACCTCTTCCCCCGCGATGCCGCGGCGGGGTCTGTGGGTCGGCGGAGGGGCCGCCGGGGCTTGGCAGATGCGGTGCCGGGAGAAAGTCGCCCACTTGCATTTTAAACGTCGGCGTCGTTCTGGAGCAGCAGATTCCCTGCTGGCCCACAGACCCCACGCTGCACCCGGCGGAGATCCCCTTGGGGTGACCTACGGCGAGAGTTAAAAATAAAGCTAGACTAAGTCTCCCTGCTAAGCTCTCCGTCAGGAAAACCACCAGAGCCTTTGCAACCCCGCTAAGCCCGACAGTGGCTGAACTGAGCATCCGAGGGGGTTTGCCAGGGACAAAAAAAAGACCCAGCCACGTGCGGGAGCAGTCCCAGGACTATTTCTGAACCCTGTTTGGCCCCCGCATGGCTTTGTCACCAGGTGCTCGTGTTGGAGAGGGTGAAGGCTGGTCCGGAGGCTTCTGACTGCACAAGGCAGTAGGTCTTTTGCTTCAGGCGGGTGCTGTGATCGCTGCTGCTCCCTCCCAAGGAAACCCAGCCCGCTGCCGGGCTGCAGCCCTCGGCAAAAGCCTGTTGGTGACCAGCGGGAGGCTGGAGCAGCACGTCGAGGCGAGAGGAAGGGCCTGGACGCTCTGAAGCGGCTGCTCTGGGTTGTGCAGGGGCGAGGGTGAGCGTGTTGTGGCCTCCTGGGACGTGTCTGAGAAGAGACGCTGCTCCTGCAAGGGGAAAGCTCGTCTGTGCTCATCCCTGATTAGACGGGAGAGATGGAAACCGTGCCCAGAGCTCATCCATCCATCCATCCATCCATCCATCCATCCATCCATCCATCCATCCATCCATCCACCTCACAAGGAAGCGGACAGGACTGAGGGGATTATTAAATCTTTATTAAAGAAATAGATGCCACAGCGGCCTGTTGGCAGCGCGGAGGGGCCCGGCAGCGGGACTCTGAACCGCTCCCCTCCGCAGCGGCCCTGGGACGAGGGGATGGGGGGCTGTGACCTGGAGATGTGGCAGCTGGAGGTGCCAGTGGTGTGCCACCGGCCAGGAGGATGCCCTGGTTTATCTGTTGAGACAAACGCTGCAGGTTTTCTGCCTGTGGATGGTTTGGCGGTTTCAGAGCCGTGACTTGTTTCTGGCATAAATCATGGCAAGGTCGAGGGCTCCCAGCACGGGGCTGCGGGGGCTGTCGGTCCCTGTCGGTTTTAACTGAACCGGGAGGGAATCCCTCCCTTGTGCCAAAAGCAGATTTACCCCTGACGTGTCGTCCTCGTCCAGTCGGGGCCTGCCGGGGCGGCTGGAGCAGCCTGTGCCGCTCGCTGCCCGTCCCTCCCGGTGCCGGCAGCC